CCTTCCTGGAGCCTAGGATGGCCCTGTACTGTCAGGGAAGCACAAAGGGACGCCCCGCTCTGAGAAGTTCAGTCCTGGGAAGAACTGGGGTGGGGCGGAGAGGAATCCAAATGTCTCCCAGCTCCCAGGGCAGGAAACCAGCCTTGACCAGTCAAGATGCAAATTCTCAGTAGACCTAGGAGGTGGTGTCCAGATACCTGCGGGGTTTCCTTGAAGCCACACTCCTGCATTCACCTCCTCTTCCTCTCAGCGACCTCTTTTCTAAAGCCAATGCCCTGGGGAAGAACTGGCTTTCCTGGGAACATGGCCTTGCCAACGGCCACCCTTACCCACCCCCTACACACACACACACGCACACACACACACACACACACACACACACACCCATGACCTTGTAGTCTACACAGCCTGAATTCAGCAGTGCTCTCTCACACCCCTGGGCTTTTTCCTGAAACTTGCTTTTTTAAATTTACTTAAAAGATATGGAATGAGCCCCTACTATGTGCCACACACTGCTGCAGGCACAAAAGACAAGCAAGACAGACCCAGTACCTACTTCACAGAACAAGGAGATCAGAGGATGACCCACAATACACTCCAGAACAAACATGGAAATAGCACAGTGTGAAGCTGTTGTACATACAGTGTAAAAATTAAAATCGGTCAACGGCGCAGAGTGACTGCTGGGGGCGGGGGGCGGGGCAGGGATGCTAGTGCGATCGGGTCTAAAGAGTGAATATTCGAGCTGAGGTTTCAGTAAGGAGAAGGGGGTCACACACCAACATCTGGCTAGGGAAGCAGTTTGGGCAGAGGGGCCAGCAAGCAGAAAGATGCCGAGATGGGGACAGGTTGGGCATGTCTGAGGGGTGAGACAAGGCAGTGTGGTGGAGCACAGCCATGGGGAGAGTGGTAGATGCTGGTCACGAGGCCCCATAGAGCCCTGCTGGGGACTTGAGTGGGACTCTGGGTGAGATCAGGAGCCAGAAGGGCTTTGAGCAGGGGGTCCCCCAGAAGATCATTGTGTGAGGAGCAGGGACTGTAAAGGGGCAGGAAGGCCCTCCCTCCCATTGTCAACTGGTGAACTCCTTCTCATCCTTCAGATGCCAACCCAATGGGCACTTCCTTGGTCAGATCCCCTGGTGAGTCTCATAACACCAGCTTCCCTTCATCGCACCTAGCTCTGGGGTAATCTCACGGGTGTCTCTGGTCATTTGATTAATGTCTATCTTCTCCACTAGACTCTGTGCTCCTTTGGGACAGGCACACGTCTGCCTCTGCTCACTGTAAATCCCTAGCGCCCTGCACAGAACCTGGCATGCAGTGGGTGCTTAATCAATGTGAACATGACAAACATGTGAATCCCCAGGGTCTCAGCCCTCAAGGAATGGCTTCCTACCTCTACGTCCTCCCTCCACTGTGTGCCCCCCACACCTTGCGACTACCTCTTCCATAGAACCCAGCATGACTGTAAACAGCTTCTAGCACCGTCACACATACACACACGCATACACACTGGATGGTGCTCCAGAGGGCAGGACGCGTGTGTAGTCCTTCACTATACCCCTGGGATCCACTTGAATCACGTGGTGCCATTGTACATGCAAAGAACCACCTCGCCCACGTGAACCTCCACCTACTCAAAGCCTCCCCACTTGAGCTCAGTAGAAAGTCTGTGCCTGAAGTCAGGGTCAAGCCCCCCTTCCCTCTCCCAGTTGAGCAGCTTCACCCACAGACCCACCAGCAGCAGGGGCCCCCAGCCTCTCCCAGACCCACAGCCCCAGAATTGCTCACACAAACGGGGATAAGCTCTGTTTGCAAAGACACAATGGCTGTATTTTGCAAACCAAAGATGAGCATACATAGACTAAGGCTTACAAATGGGGACAAAACACTGGAATGTCTGACCTCTGGTCTGGCCCAGGAAGTTGGGAAACATTGGTCCCTATTTTTAGGGTCAACTACTTTTTCCTATTACAGCACAGCACCCATGATCCTTAGTGCCGTTAGATCCCACTTAATTAATCAGCATATTCTTGAAACAAATGTGATAAAAATAACATTGTTAAATATATAGATATATATTTCACATGCTCTGCAAAAGCTTGGTATTAAAGAAATTCCTGGGACTTCCCTGGTGGCGCAGTGGTTGAGAGTCTGCCCACATGCCGCAGAGCTACTGAGCCCACGCACCACAACTACTGAAGCCTGAGTGGCCTAGAGCAACAAGAGAAGTCACTGCAGTGAGAAGCCTGCGCACCTCAATGAAGAGTAGCCCCCGCTACCCAACACAGCCAAAAAAAAAAAAAGAGAGAGAGAGAGAGAAAGAAAGAAATTCCTTTTGCAGAGTAACAAAGTTCTATATTTTTTGGAGGGCAATTTGTTAAAAGCCTTAAAATGCGCATGCCCCACAGCCCAGTGATTCTATATCTGAGACATAATTCAAGTTTTAAAGGGCTACTGCAAAACTAAGCTACAAGAATATTTGTCACACAGCACTGCTTGTAAAAATATATCATTCAAAATAATCCAAATGTCCAGCAGGGAGTAATTACTTAAAGTAATTATGGTGCATCTGTACAATGGAATACACTGCAACCAAAATACTACTACTAATAGTACTTATTGAGCACTTACTCTGTGCAACAGACCACCTTAAAAGCTTTATATGCACCAACCTATTTAACACTCACTATGCTGCAGGTACAATTACCATCCCCAACTCACAGATGAGAAAATCAATACCCAAAAGGATTAGGTTACAAGCCAAGGTCACACAGCTAGGATTCCCACCCAAGGCAGTCTGACTCTAGACACCAAGCTCTTAGCCATTATACTATATGGCCTCAAACAACATCATTAAAAGAGATATTGTAGAAGAACCAGTCACATGGAACAGTGCTGTTGATATAGCGATAGGTAAAACAAACCAGTTATTAAACAGGACATGCATGCTGATCCCATTTGTGCACTTGCATGTAAACAAAGACAGAAGGGTTTGCAAAGATAACACTGTAGCATCTTGGTGTAGATTGCTGAGTGGGTGGAATTGTGTGTGTATTTTTTACATTTTCTTCTGCTGTGCCTTCTGTAACAAACATGCTAAGTTTGTATTAAGAAAAAATAATTTTAAACTTTAAAAAGTTAACGTAAATGCCAAAATCACTCCCTTGCACTTATCCTCTGCATAAACCCAAGTGTCCATCTGTTGGCCTTGCTTTAAGTATAGTTACAACTGCTTGCACAGGACTCAGGACATGGCCTGAAGCCAATTCACGGGCTCTGCTGGCTCTTCATGGCTCAGCTTCCCCTCAAGGCAGCCAAGGCTCTCCAAGTAGGAAGAGACAGCAGAGATTCTTCCCAGTCTAATTCTCAGCAGCCTGCCCATCCCATCACCCCAGGATCCTCTCTGGCACTTGAGCTCCCAGGGGGCCGCTGGGCTGACAGCACAGAGCTGTGTGAGCTGGCAGAACCTGGCAGCTTCTGCCTTGGCTCCAGGTCTGGTCTGGAAGCCAAGCCCAGGGACCCTCGGAGTCTGACACACTCCACCTCCTGTTGCTGGGTTGCTGGGTCTTTCAAGGAAGTGCTTCACCAAAAAGTGAAGGGCACACATGCCTGAAGGAAGTCAAATTGGCCCAGGGACAGGAGCCCCAGTTCTGCAGCCACACGACCAGGGCCCCTCCTGGCCCAGTCACCTGCGTCCTGGCTATGAGATCTTGGGAAAGTTACTTCTTCTCTCTGAGCCTGTTCCAGTGCCCATCAAGTAAAGAAATTAAAATACCAACTTGGAAAGGGACTTGTAAAATATATATATATATATATATATATATATATATATCATACATAATAGATATATATAAAATAATGATGCCAATAAGTAATATTTCCAGGGCACCAACAGCTAGTCAGGCACTCAAACACCTTCTAGGTATGATCTTATGGAATTCTCACAGCAGCACTGTGACTACTCACACTTCATGGATGACGAAACCAAGGTGCAGAGCGGCCAAGTCACTTGCACTGGTAAATAGTGGAGCAGGAATTTCTGTCACCATGCCTGGGCCCACACCGCCACACCACACATCCTGGCACAATGTCTAGAACATGGACTTCATCCAGACGGTTACCACTGTCACGCCTCCCTGCCCAGCCACTGCCTAACTCTGGAGAATGATGTGACAGTGAAGAGAGCCACCCACCTGGTTCTCCCCACCCCCCACAGGCCCACAGACTTTTGGAAGCCTTCCTTTCAGATTAGCCAAAGCTCCCCACACACACACAATCTTTGAGCCAGCTCCAGGGACCACAGGCCATGGCTTTGCTGCTGCACATCCTGCGGCGACCACCCTCCAAACCTGGCCTTGTGCTCTGGCCACCAGGGCTGCTGGCCCAACAGGGACAGCTCACGCTCTAGGAGTCAGACCTGCTGGCACTCACACCTGGCACCTGCCCCAAAACCCTTTCAAGTCTCCTCGAGAATCTGGGCCTCGGGCCTGGGTCTCCCAGCGGCTCACAACAGCAGGCCAGAGGGAACCACGCGAATCATAAAAGCAGCCTCGCCACCGTCAAGTGGCGCCCGAGCACTGGCTCTGGCTCTGTGTGCGTGCTGGAGCCTGGGTGTGCAAGTGTATGAAGGAGAGCGTGTGTGACAGCGAGAGGGTAGCGGATGTGAGTCTGAATGTGCAAGTGCGCGCGTGGCTCCGAGTGTGCGCTGCTGCGATCGCGGTCCGGGGCGGGCGGCGGGCGGGGAAGGTCTCCGCCCCCCCCCGCCCCCCCCAACCGCGTTGAGAAATCTCAGTGAGTCACCGAGTGGTTCTGCATATTAATGAGCTCGGAGCGGATTTAAAAGAGGCCTGGGCGGGCGGAGGGAGACTGTGGAGAGAGCCCGGAGCCGAGCGCAGAGCGCTGCGGGGTGCCACAGCCGCGAGGCTCCCACCGACGGGCGAAGCAGGAGCGAGTGGAGCCGGGAGGCGCGCTCCGGGTAGAAAGAGCCAAACCCGGCGCCCGGACTCGCGGGCGCCCTCCCCGAGCCCCTGCTCCCGCACCGCGCCCCTCGGCCAGCATGAGGGTCCTGACGGCAGCGCTGCTCCTGCTGCTCCTGGCGCTGTGTGCCGTGCGCGTGGACGGTGAGTGCCTGGGAGGTCCCTGGGCGCCAGCCCGGCCCGTCCTGGGGAACCCCCAACGCCAACTGCTAAGCTTCCCGGGATCCCTGGGGTTCTGGGTGGGCACCGAGGGCGGTCAATGAGTTGCGAAGGAGACCCCTCGCGCAACTGAGCAGCCCCCCCGCGCGCTCTCTCGCAGGGTCCAAATGCAAGTGCTCCCGGAAGGGACCCAAGATCCGCTACAGCGACGTGAAGAAGCTGGAAATGAAGCCAAAGTACCCGCATTGCGAGGAGAAAATGGTTATGTGAGTTCTCGCTCTTCGCCGCGAGCGTGTGCGCGCAGCTCTTAACCGGGTGCTGCGGCGCAGCTTGGGGCTGGGTCGGGCTAACAAGCCTTTCTCTCAGCCTGTGTCAAGGCCTTGGCGGAGCCTTTGTAATTGCCTAGCGAGTCCTTAGGACGCTGGCACGGCAGTCTGGAAGAGAGTTTGAAAAAAGGGTCACGGTACTGTGCTCCGGAAACAGCCTCTCCGAGGGGTTCACCCTTGCTAGGATTCAGATGGGTAGCCTAGGGGTTGCACTGCCCCCCCTTTCTAGGGTGATCAAGGGTTAAATGGCTTCCGTGTGCCAACTTAGAACACCGAGATTGAAATCACTCAGAATACACCCAGAACTATTAAACTGGAACCCAAACTGTGAGGCGTGCTGCCTTCCTGTTACTGGAGAGAGAATTAAAGCAAACATTGTCTGACGTCCTCAGAACCTCCTTTCAGGGCCTTTTTCTGATCAGGGGACCATGGCCGTCTGGTTTTTGGCTTCTAGCGATTCCATTTTGAGAAGGATCCTCACTCTTCCAACACCAGCTGGACTCCTGTGGGTTCCTGAGCAGTCTTGTGGAAAGGGCTCTGTTGGAGTTAACGTGCCATGAGGGTGAAGCCCTGCTTGGTGGGGATGCAGGGAATATTTTAAAAAGTGGGGCAGAGCTAGAGAACACTGCGTTTCCTTGCTTCCCTGCCTTCCCAATTAACCACTTGAGGCCAGCACCACTGTTTCCCCATCAATACGCTCTTGGCCAGGAAGGGAGCCCTTGGCAAAGCAGCTACCAAATATCTGCCACGGACCATTGGCCCCTCTTCCCCTCCCCCAGAAACAGGACACACTTTATTCTCAGTCTGGGCAAGTGCCTTCCATTCACTGGCCCCGCTGGCCCAAAGGCCTCCACACAGTGTCTGCAAAGGCAGCTCCCACCGCTCCCCCCTCCACTGCCACCTGGGGTCTGCACAGTCAGGCTGAAGTTAGGGAAATTCAGAAAATCACTGGGCCTGAGCTAAACCCCTCTGCCTTCCTTCCTGGGCACTTAAATTAGCCTCCTGTCCCTGCCCCTTTGCCCTGCCCCTTGCCTTGCAGACCCAGGTCCAGAAAAACTGCTAGAAAATCCTTTGGGGTGGGAGCTAGAGGTCACACAGCTGAGGGAGGAGCTACAAGCCCCTCAGGGTTCTCAGCTCTCTTGGGGTGAAAATGACAGGGACTTTAACTTTGCACTCCTCTCAGTGCTGAAAAATGCTACACACACCAAGCTGAGCTGTTGAGTCCTTGCAGGAAAGGAGGAGCAGGGTATGAGGCGCAGCCACATCTCAGAAGGACAGAACCCTCAGTAAACAGGCTTGCCCTTTTTCGTGGCTATACTTTTCAGAATAGAGAGGAAACTGACAGCCAGGCAAGTGCATGCGAAGGCTTTATGTAGCCTTGTGAAAACTTGCAGGGGTCCCATGAGATCCGCACACAGTCACCCTCTTCTAAACCTCCACCCCATACCCAGGACCCTACCCCCATCCCTGAAGGGCTGGAAGTCTTCTCCCCTCTCAAGCTCCCAAGACTCTCCACATCACACGAGGGACCAGTGCTTTTTTCCCAAAGCCGGTTTTTAGCCCCAAAGCTGAACTAAAGGAAGTTTTCCAGTTCACCCTGAGTCACCTAGAAACCTCTGATGAGGCTTGGGGCGCAGCTTGCTTTGCAAGTGGGAGTCCTTGCACTCAGAAGGATCCAGTAAAGCCAAGATTCTAGAAGGGGCAATTTGTTTCATATACCCCGAGTTATTGCTGAAACTCTCAGTCTCCCAGAACCACTGAGGACAGGACCCAGAATTTCTGCACAATTGATGGGGGCAGAAATCCTCACGTCTTCACCGCACAACCAAGTTTCAAAGTCCCCGTGTTATGACTGAGCATTTGAGCACCGTGGTGAGAGGGCTGAGCGTCCTCCCCTGCTGTCCCAACGTTCAGGATTTGGGATCCTCAGCCTGTACGCTGACCTTACGGAGGAGGGGAATTTCATCTGGCTTGGCCACAGCCTTTTATTCCAAGTGCAAAGGCAGCACTGTAGGCAGAGAGCAAAGCATGGGCTAAATTCCTGCAGAGCGACGAGGTACTATGGGGGAGGGGACCTGGACTCTACTCTGAAGCCCGGCCCCATGCTTGAGACCTAGCAGAAGGGACCCAGGGAGCCACAGGTCTCATAGAGAGGGCCAGCGAAGGCAGAGCCCAGTCACCTGGCATTACCACAAGACCTGTCCCTGCCCTGGGAGGCTTAAGCCATGGTGAGGGCCCTGGAAACTCAGAGCACAGGGGAGAGAAGAGAACAGGTTGCCCAGAAATATTCTGCCCCCATTCAGGTAGCAAGATTCGATTTCCTCTCCCCATCAACTGGCAGACTCAGAGTTCATGGCGACCCTGCTCCTTTCCAGACCTTGGCCCAGGCACCCTGACACCTCACTGTTAGGAGCCTGTGGGGTGCTGGCTGACCTCTCTCCCTCCCTTCCCACTCTTCCCATCCCAACATCTAACCGCCCCTTTTTGCCCCCTCAGCCCACAGCCCAGCAGCCAGCCCACCACCATACCTCGCTCCTGCGTGTCACCTCCCAAGGAGTGACATCTTCACCTCTCACTTTGCAGTTTTCCATGTTCGCTAGGTTGGCCCTCATTCTTGAACACCGTCATTCCTCCCCCACCCAGAAGCTTCCTCTGAACTCCTGCCACCCTGGCCCAGCCCTGGCTGAGAGGGGCATAGCAGTTCTGGGCAGCAGCCTCTCCCTTCCTCCTCCCTCCCAGGCTGGACCTCACACACCAAGGCTTCTTCTTGGCCATCCCATCTTCCATGACAATTGCTAATAACAGTAACTATTCATTGTGCTAGGCACTTTGCATAGATTATATCTTTAATCATCCCAGTAACCGTAAGAGGTAGGTCCTATTATTATACCCATTTTATGGACGGGCAAACTAGGTTCAGAGAAGCTACCCAAGGTCCCACAGACAGACCTGGGATTCAAACCCAGGTGTACAAAGCCACCTGCTTCTCTACCACATGGCTAGACCTCCAATGGTGTCAGAACACTGGCTGATAGAGACTTGAAGGGCAGTCTTATTTTCCTGCCCAAGGGTGAGAGAACTGGGACTTCATGCTCAGGAATCAAAATGGGCTTCAAGGCCAACAAGACTTAGCTTCAGGGTCAACAAATGCCCAGCCCCAGAACAATCTGCAGAGGGTCAGGGGAACTAGGGTGTGAAAGATCAGACAGAGACCACGGTACATCCAAGCCCTGCCATGGAGCTCCTCACATCCAAGGATGAGGTCTTGGCATGCATACTTCGCTGGCATTAGCTCTCTCCACCTCTCAATCCCAGGTTCAGAGGAGCTGGAAGAGTCCCCTGACCTTCGTTCCCCAAGGGAGCCATCAGTGCTGTGGGCAACACCCTGCATGGGGGTAGGCTCAGGGGTGGGGGACTGTCCCAGACTTTGAGGGCTCCAGGGGGAAAAGTGAGAGCCCATCACTCTGCACAGGGTTAGACCCGAACGTGAAGTCAGATTAAGGGAACAACCAGAACCTTCCAAAGAGCCAGGGAGCGAGCATATGGGTAGGCTTCCTTGAAAGGAGGGAGGAGGCCACAGTCTCTCAGTGCTCTGATTGGGACAGACCAGGGCCACCCACAGGCCACACTGAGGGGCTGTCATTCAGGCTTCTCAATCCTCCATCCCATCCTGCTCCATTTCAGCATCACCACCAAGAGCGTGTCCAGGTACCGGGGTCAGGAGCACTGCCTGCACCCCAAGCTGCAGAGCACCAAGCGGTTCATCAAGTGGTACAACGCCTGGAATGAGAAGCGCAGGTATGCCCCACTGCCCCTCACCTTCCTTCCCACCACCCTACCAGATCCAGAGTCTAGACCCCTTCTAGGTCATCTAGCCCCATCTAAGGCATGAACACCCACTACAGTTTTCACAGTAAGCAGATACCCAGACATGGCTTACATACTCCCAGAGATGAGGAACTCACCGCTTAACTTACTGCTACACTTATTGCTCTCTTGGACAATTGTAAGCATCGAAAATTGATCCTCTTGCGAACTAAAGTTTGTCTCATTCTAACTTTTATGAAGTTAGGATAGTCCTAATTCCTCTCCTTATTTAAGTAACTTAAGTTTTCTGCCCCCTCAATTTCCCTCTGTCAAATGGCTGGGTGAATGCCCAGCATGGCTCTCTCTCTCCGTGATTTGTGTGGTTTGGTGAAACACAGCTGCTTAAGTGACTGGGTTTATTAACTATAAAACTGGGGGTACAACCATAAGATGATGAGGACAACTCCTTGCCAACAACATAGTCTCCCCTCAGGGTGCCCCATGCCCCCTGCTGCCCAGAAGCCTGATAAACTCCTTCCTGTGCAGGTGCAGGGAGGGACTTTGGGTTTGACCCTCTAAAATCAGAA